AAAGTCAGAATTCTGAGTTTAAAGTCAGAATTCTGAGTTTAAAGTCAGAATTCTGAGATTAAAGTCAGAATTCTCACTTTTTTCCCATACTACACTGAAATAAAATAAAAACAAAAATGAGTTAACATTTTTTTTTTCCAGTGGCCCTAATCCTCTTCCGTAGCTTGCAATCAAAGGGGAATTTTAGATCATTTATTGTGTTGATTTACTGCGGCATCTGGTATTTTTGTCACCTTTGGTCTTTAAACAAGATTATTTTGTCATTTCTTATTATACTTTTATTGTTTTCTGTAAATGCTCCCCCTGGCAAATGTTTTTGTTGTTTTGTAATATGTAAACAATGCAGTTTTGTATCATAAATAATAAAGTTTATAAAAACAAAAAACAAAAAAACATCATGCAAAAAAAAAAAAAAAGTGGGAGAAGTTGCAAAATATCCGAGTGTTCAAATACTTATAATCCTCACAGTATATAGATCTATACTGTAGATCTACAGCCTCCAAACATTATCCAGACGAGACATTCAATGCGCCTGATGTTCCATGTTTTGAAGCCCCGCCCCCAGATTTCCTTATAAGAGACAAACTTCACCAAAATAGCTCCTGGACACAAACAGGAAGTTAATTACATTGTTTATCGTTCACTCTTGAGAAAACAGTAACCTCTAGGGAGAAGCTGACGGACCCGCTAGTTTGCTGCAGTTTTCCTCAAATAATCAGACGGAGGTTTTTTTTTCCATTTTAGTTTATTATCAGTCTATTTCCCAACCATTTTAAAATGTTTCTTTTGAGTTGAGGAGAACAGACATGACGGGATGGAGCCTTGGGTCTAACTTTTGCATTTGCTGTGTTGATTTAAACTGTGCATGTGAATAATGTGAATTATGAATGAATATGATGCATGTTTCTCTACGTTTATGAGTAAATACCTGTATGACCTTTGGGGTTCTCGCCACTAGTTTCTTGTTTCCAATTTGAAATTGAATTTTGTTACATTATGAGCAAAGAAAACATTTTTAAACAGAAATTTGAAAAAAAAAAAAAAAAAAATCTATCCAGAAATGATTTTGAAGGCATCTTTGCTTCTTCAGACATTATGTTTTCAATTTTTTTAAACATTTTATTTCTTAACATTTTCCTCCATCTATCTATCCACCCATAGGAGGAAATACAAGTAGAAAATGGCTAATTATCGCCACATTATGTGGCATTGAGCTAATTATTATTTTTTTATGTTTTACAACTGCAGCCTACAGTCACTGCATTTAAGGCACAACAATTTTTACACGTTTTTACCAATAATCTGCACTACTTATTTTTTTGTTTAATATTAATTTTTACAGTTTGAAGTTAAGAAGGTCAGGCTTATTTTTAAAACACTTATTTTATTCAGCAGTGTTTGTTATTTTGTATTAAAGTGAATTGCTGGATATTGATTCGTTTTCCATGTGTTCATGTCACTCACAAATATGCATCTTATTCAATGCAGATTTCAGTCAAATAGTTAAAAAAATATATCTTTTCACACACAAAGGGGGGCTAAAAAAAACTGAACACGCCAGGAGGGGTGAAGGGAATCAGGTCAGCTGGGACGCACATGAGGTGTCCCTGTTTTTTCCTGTTTATCACAGAGACTCACAAACATGCACACACTCACATCTAGGAAGAATTTTAGAGAAGATAATTAACCTAACAGTCAAGTTCTTGGACTGTGGGAGGAAGCTTGAGTACCTGGAGAGAACGCACGCATGCATGGGGAGAACATGCAATACCCCAGGCTGGGAGTCAAACCCAGAACCTTCTAGCTGCAAGGCAACAGTTCTACAAGCTGTGCAACCGTGCAGCCATTTCCCCCACATTTTATTTCCTTTCTTTATTGCATTCTATTCAAATGAAGTTTTCCAGATCATATTCTCTTCATCTGTGGGGCGGAGCTTCCTTCTGGAGGGAAGAGCAAAGACGCATTTCTATTGGTCTGATGGAAACTAGAAACTATTCGTATCGGGCTTGACATGAAGAGTCTCGATCTGCAAAATGCAATTTATAAGGAATTTAATTCATGAAACTCAGTCTGTAAAACAGCTATGTGGAAAAAAACAAACAATCATGTAAGAAAACTGCCAAATTATTTAAAAAAAGTTTTTAATTTAAAGGTTTTTCAGTCATTTTTGTATTGAATTTGTTTGTAAAATTATATTTACCAAACGTGTTATTTGCTTGCAAAAACGATAAAACGGAATCCAGATAAGTTAAAGAACATCAGTTTTCCAAGTTTGACCTTAGATGCTTAATTAGCTTCATCTTCATTTATAAACCTAAATACAAGGAGAGAGAAACAAACAAAGTGTGAACCTTATCAGCAGTGGGAACACTGTTGTACGGCCTGCCCCACTGCAGCCTATGGCATGAATATGACTGCTGGGCAGAGACGTTTACTGTCATACAGACTGGATGCATCTCAGCATCAACAGTAGATTACGTTCACTTTTTTCATTAAGTCTTAAAACTTTTCCATCCTCCTTTACTTATGCAGACAGTGGCGGTTCTAGACCAAATGTACCAGTGGGCGAGGAGGGGGCGAGGAGGGGGCCAGCCTTGTTTTCATGGGGGAACAGAAAAGTATGAAATAAAAAACAGGACAAGGGATTAAAATAAATTAAAATAGCTGCATGAAGGGAAATTGCTATTCAATTAGGTTTCATTAAAATTCTATGACTAATTAGTAGTTCAATATGTATTCAGAATTTAGGAATTTTACATATTTTTGACTTAATTTAGGTTGAAATTACAGTTTTTATAAAATCTGAATTAAAATTTAAGAAAAACTGATAAATGCAGCTGTAAAAAAATTACAGTATTTTTTTTTATTTGTTTTGAAAAAAACATTTAGCAGATGAAAACTGGGATCCCATCTCAATCCCACTGAAGCCTTATTATCATGTTATTGTTTTTAAATAATAATTAAAACAGAATTTGTAAAGAAAAAAATGAAATAGATCCAAAGGAGCTATCGGTAACCATGTCTGTTCCAGCGCAGATCATCATCAGAATTTCTTTAAGTATTATGTCTTCAGTACAGGGGCCAGGACATGATCTATAGGGGCTCTGGCCCCCGTTGGCGGGTCTAGATCCGGCCATGTATGCACATTTGGTAAAAACACTGAAAATTTAATGTAAATTTTTTTCTTTACAGGAAGTGGAAACTCTGTTTAATCGTTGATGTTTTTGTGCAGTGTGTTTTTCACCAAGTAACAAAGGAGCTGAGAGTGGGAGGAGCCTAACTCAGGTAAACAGTGGGAGGAGCCTAACTCAGGTAAACAGGAGCACCATGGATGAGGAAAACTTATGGTTCATGCAGCTTTCTGTGTTTGGAGACGTTTATTTATAATATTTCATCCAAAAAAATTACTGATGTTCTTTTTTATTATGCAGATTTTTACACCTTTTTACATTTTATTGACAACATTATTGGAAATACATCGACTTATGAACTAAAAAAACAGAGCAAAAATATTCACACCCATAACCTTATTCTTCATTCATCGAGAAAAATCCATCAGAACCACGAAAGACAAACAAGAAAGCAAGAAAAGCGGCGCAGCAGCCGGTGTTTCTGTCCGCATCAAGCTCGCAGACACTACATTCCATTTCCGCTCAGTAACTTCAAAATAAAAGACTTTGTTTTTATTTCTAAATATCTGACCGCCTCTTTTTCGCCCAGTTAGTTTTCACACACAAAAAAAAGAGTTTGATTTCTGAGATTAACTCACTTTCAGGTTCTAAGTAAGGAAAATTAATTTAGTGTTAATACGGAAGGATCTTAGCTGGACTTTATTAATTAGGAATATTTATTGTCAATATGAAACCTTAAGGATAATTTTCAGAGGTTTTCTGCTAAATCGTATCTAAATATGTTCAAATATTCGCTAAAAATATTAAAAGTGAAAACACAATTGATGAAGTCATCGTCTGCTCACCTTACTTCCGGTCTCGGCTTTGTTTCGCTAACTTACCTCGGACTCTTTTTTTAAATTTCTATTTTCCTCACCTAACAAAAGTAAATCAGTCCAACCATCAAGCAGCAGCAGCAGCAGCAGCAGCTGTCAGGTCTTCTTACCTCTGCTGTTGGTCTCTGCTTTTATTCCTCCTCCCTGGATGTTGCTGTCAGGCAGCCAGCAGCTCTGAAAGCTTCTCAGATCAGATCAATCTGCAAACAGCTGCAGCTGCTGCTGCAGGAAGCATCATGTGACCAGGCAACATAAAGCTGCACATCACCTCTGCAGCGCTCAGATATTACAACAGAAAAACTCAGAGCTACGGAAGAAGATTAGGGCCACTGAGAAAAAAAGTTAACATGTTTTTTTTTTTAAATATTATTTTCGTTTGATATGGAAGAAAAATCAGAATTCGACTCATAATTCTGACTTTAATCTCAGAATTCTGACTGTATTCTGACTGAATAACAAACACGTTAGCATCAAGCTGTAGCTATGTCTGTTTTAGAGACTAGCTGTCTGGTTTTAATCAACCTAAACTCTTAATAGAATAGCATCACTAAAGTTCTGAGATTAAAGTCAAAATTCTGAGTTTTTCCCATATTAAACTGAAATAAAATGTAATTTTAAATTTTCCATTGGCCCTAATCCTCTTCCATACAAAGCGGTAGTTATTTAGAAATTCACACCAAAAAAACAAAAAAAAACAATTAGATTAGACAGAAAAAATAAAACAGAAGAAAATGTAAGAACAGAAACTAAATAAACGAAAACCCCCCCCCCAAAAAAAGGAAATCCAATCAAAAGAACACAAATATTTTCAAAACCTTTACAAGTCAACAAACAAAAAACAATCAGTGGCGGTTCTAGAGCAAATGTACCAGGGGGCCAGGAGGGGGCCAGCGTGTTTTCATGGGGGCCCAGAAAAGCATGACATAAAAAAACGGCAAGAGATTCAAATATATTAAGAGAGCTGCATGAATGAAATTCCTTTTCAATTAGGTTTAATTAAAATTCTATGTCCTATTAGGTTAATATACATTCATCATTTAGGAATTTTACATATTTTTAACTTAATTTAAGTTGAAATATTTTCTATAAAATCAGAAAAAGAAACGGATCAATTCGGCTGTAAAAATTTTTTTGTTTTGTTTTGAAAAAAAACAAAACAAAACATTTAGCAGATGAAAGCTGGGATTCTATCTCAATGCCACTGAAGCTATCGCCTTATTGTTTTTAAATAATTATTAAAACATATTTTATAAAGAAAAAGAGATAAAATAGATCCAAAGGAGCAATCAGTAACCATGTCTGTTCCAGCGCAGATCATCATTAGAATTTATTTTTAGTATTATGTCTTTAGTTCAGGGGCCAGGACATGATCTACAGGGGCACTGGCCCCCATTGGCCTGTCTAGAACCGCCCATGAAAACAATCCTGATAACTGAATAGAATTAAGTTATAAAACAATATCAATTCAATTCTATTCAGTTA